TTGCTGTTTAAGAATCTAAACCCAAAAGAAGACTTGCCAATGAAATGACACTTGGGGACTTTTCTTTGCTCAAGAAACAACAAAGAGATTAGGATTCTTTTGGACCACCATCTTTGCCAATAATATCAATGCGTGGGGCAATAACAATAGAATCCACTTCCTAGAGGAAGTTTCAATCGAAGGAGGGCCTCATATTTAGCTGGAAAATTTCCATGCGTTTTGGATGGAGATACTAATTTTAGAATTTGGGCAAAAGTTAAAACTTTTAAATTAATATACACTAATTTCTTTGTTTGGAAATTATATTTGGAAAGAAACTTGGAATTTGGAGTTCATAAATTCCATGACCGTCATTGTCATCTCTATTACCTTGTTTGGATTCAGTAACAAAGAAATTTTGAAATTTTATATGAAAAAAAAAACTTGGAATTTGGATTTCATAAATTCCAACTTTAAATGTCATCTTTGTTGATGTACAAAAATGAATTCAACTCAGGTTCTTTTGGACCACCATCTTTGCCAATAATATCAATGCGTGGGGCAATAACAATAGAATCCACTTCCTAGAGGAAGTTTCAATCGAAGGAGGGCCTCATATTTAGCTGGAAAATTTCCATGCGTTTTGGATGGAGATACTAATTTTAGAATTTGGGCAAAAGTTAAAACTTTTAAATTAATATACACTAATTTCTTTGTTTGGAAATTATATTTGGAAAGAAACTTGGAATTTCGAGTTCATAAATTCCATGACCGTCATTGTCATCTCTATTACCTTGTTTGGATTCATTAACAAAGAAATTTTGAAATTTTATATGAAAAAAAAAACTTGGAATTTGGAATTCATAAATTCCAACTTTAAATGTCATATTGTTGATGTACAAAAATAAATTCAACTCGAGTGAGATATCTTCAGCCTTAAGTGTCCTTCGACCAATGAGGTTTAACATGCAAGGTGTAAATAGTCAAGAGTAATGATACCGGTGTGGTACCGGTCCAAGAACATACAATGCCTAAGTTTAAGTATGGGATGTAGAAGAAATTTTGCAGAGTAATGGTAAGATATGAAAACCGTCACTGAACCTTAGAGGTGAGTTCCCTATATACAGAGTCATTAAAGTTGGAGGATAATAAAATTGGAGTTCATAGTCCAAATGGGAAGAAAAATAAAAAATTTGTAAAGAAAATGACATGTGAAGGGGTTTTCTCACACATACACTATGAGACTACTGGTCCGCAAGTTAATGCCATTTTCCACTCGGCTAGACCACATTAACCATCGAACATAATTATCTGCATATAATAAAAGAACAAAAAATCAGATAAAAATTAGAGTAGGGCGTGATACTATTTTCTAATAAGTCAACGTACCCAAGTCTTTGATATGAAATAGTATTGGTCTAATGATAAAATCCAATGATGATGATATCTACGTCTGAAGGAAGGAAGGTTTGCCAATAACACAAACATTCACATCCTCAGTGTGTTCCTTTCCTTTGATTAATTCTACTCCTCCTAGTACAACTGGCCCCTTCTGTACGCGGCTTCTAGCGTGCTTCCCCTAATAATATCAAATTTTCTTCCAACCACAAACCAAAATTAAATCCAAAATTAAAACTAGTTTGGCCCACAAATTTAATTGCAAAAACGAATCTTATAAATCAATTTGATGAAATCAGAGCCGTGGGATTAATTGTTTATTTCCCTTTCCATGTGCATCTTTGTAGTTGAAGATAGTATATTCATAGTAATTAGGGTTTAAATTTCTACTTTATTAAACAACAAGGCCATTATTATTAAATTAAAAAATTTAAAAAAAGGGCTAAAATCTCTGTTCTTGTCGTACTATTTGACTTCGGCTTCTGGTAAAAATTATTATTATTATTCTAAGATCGGTTAGGTAAGGGTATAAAATACTAAATTGTGCAATGCAATAGGACCATGAAAAGTTTTTTATTTTTATTTTTTTTTGGAAGCCAATGGGGAAGATGTTCGATTCTGATCTTACTAGTCGTCATCTTGATTGATAATGATTTCACGTTTGAATATGTATGAATTGTTGATGTAGAAATGAATTGTTGGAAATTAATGCACGTCACCTTCAGGTGCTTGTTAATAAAGCCTTTTTTTTTAAAAAAAAATTTAGAAATAAATGAATTTTTTTATTTTATACGAGCGATATTGAAAAGAGGAAAATGAAATACATGAAATCGGAGTATATGATCACTCTTCCTCAATAAAGTTCTTTGTATTAAAAAATAAGAAAAAGAAAGTAATAAAGCTCATTACGGTCCCATGTCCATTGGAAAAGGAAAAGTATTTTACACAATGAAAGGAATATGAATACCTAGTTAGGGTCCCATCTTTCATACAATTGTTTTGAACTTTAGGAAACAAACTTGCAGGATGAACCCCTTTCCTCTAAATAAAGCTCGTTGTTTATTTATAAAGAAAGACTTTGATTTGAGGTGACAAATTGGAAAGGTATCTCTTTTCACTTTCCATTCAATTTACACCAAGGCATGATCTCTTTATGGCCCTTCACCCCTCCTCCTCACTACCACTTTGTATACTGTGATTGTTTGGGAGATTCACTATTATACCTAATATAGGAGCCTAAATTATAAAAACACCTTATATGAAATGGACTTTAGAAACGCATCCAAAACTCATTTACAACATAACAAAAAAACTTTTAACTTCTTTTAAATTACAAAACTGCAATTGATTTCTTAAAACAAACCCAATCCCAAAACCTCATAAAAAAGTTCAAAACACTCAAAAGGTCATCAAAGTAATTTAATAATCAAAATTAAATTCAATAGGGCCAGCTATCATTTTTTTGGGTTTGTTTATAGAAATTAAATGATATAGAGTTTATTTATAATTTTAGTGCTAAAAATGAGTATACGACTAAATATTCTTACTAAGATACTTGAGATTCTATGTTTGAAAGTTACTTTAGGTTTCTAGCCTATTGGGTGTTGCTGTCGACATGTCGTTGATGTATGACTCTCCAGCTGGAACATTCGTGATACAGCCAGCTAATCTCATGAGAGGCATTAGTAAAAAAATATTTAAAATTAAAAAAGAAAAAAGAGAGTTTGCATTTGTGAATAATGTGAACTGATTTTAGGATGGTCTGTCGGCCGCAGAAGACTTATTTTAGGAAGGTTCTGCAATACAAACTCACTTCTTGTCTTGTAACTCATTTTGATGTCATGTTTTTTCAGTCCAGTTGTCATTTTAAAACGAGTGAATATTTTGTTTGGTGTTTGAAACCATGGTCGTGCGATATAGCCAAACTTGGGTTAGTCAACTTACAACTTTCGTTTAAATATGTTCAAGATGTATTAAATCAGCAAGTTAGCTGCCTGTCATTCTTAGAGAGGACGTGTTCGTATGAGTCATACAACTTGTGTGTTTTGTGTGTAAAAGTTGTAACGAAAATCTTAAAATCTTTGTCGTGATCGTTTTTTCATTAAAGTATTTGGATGAGTTTATATCGTTCTTGTTCCACGTCTCGCGATCACATCGTATTTTCTCTATGAAATTATTAAGAAACTGACAATAATTTTAGATCAAATTACATTTGTGGGATGTATTAAATCAGCAAGTTAGCTGCCTGTCATTCTTAGAGAGGACGTGTTCGTATGAGTCATACAACTTGTGTGTTTTGTATGTAAAAGTTGTAACGAAAATCTTAAAATCTTTGTCGTGATCGTTTTTTCATTAAAGTATTTGGATGAGTTTATATCGTTCTTATTCCACGTTTCGCGATCACATTGTATTTTCTCTCTGAAATTATTAAGAAACTGACAATAATTTTAGATCAAATTACATTTTTGATCCTCTAGTGTTTTTCACCTTAGTTCCCGTTATTTTAAATTTCGGTATTTTTTCAGTCATGTAATTGTATTTAGGGAGCAATTACGTCCTACAAATATAATATTGTTGAAAAATGAGGAAATTATTGCATTTTGGGTTGTTTGCAAATATTTTAGAGAGACAAAAATGTCCTCACATGTGGTCGTTGTGTAAACATTGAATTTCATAAATTAATTATGAAGTTGATGTTATTTATGAACTTGATTTCACGCCAACTAAACTATATGATTAAAATTAATTTTCAAAATTATGTCAAAATTACAACTTTATTTTAGAATTTTCTTTTTTTATTTTCTAGTTTCTTTTTATAACCCATTTTAATATAAAAATGCGCAAAGCATAAAGACAACTTCAAAAAGACAAATGGCAACGGCTCTGATCTCAGGCTAAATTGACTCTATATTAAAAAAAATAAATACCAGAAAAAAATTTTAGAGAGACAAAAATGTCCTCACATGTGGTCGTTGTGTAAACATTGAATTTCATAAATTAATTATGAAGTTGATGTTATTTATGAACTTGATTTCACGCCAACTAAACTATATGATTAAAATTAATTTTCAAAATTATGTCAAAATTACAACTTTATTTTAGAATTTTCTTTTTTTATTTTCTAGTTTCTTTTTATAACCCATTTTAATATAAAGATGCGCAAAGCATAAAGACAACTTCGAAAAGACAAATGGCAACGGCTCTCATCTCAGGCTAAATTGACTCTATATTAAAAAAAATAAATACCAGAAAAAAAGAAAAGAAAAGAAAATTCTAAAATAAAGTTGTAATTTGCAAAATCTATCTCCACCCACCCCAAGTTGTGTTGCTCTGGCTTGCAAACGGGCTCCGTGGTGCGTCCCCACCTTGAACGTGACCATGTTGCGCGTTCCGTTCCGCTGACCTCAATTGTTTGTCGCCGAATGATTGGGCGCCACGTGGACTTTTCCAGATTGGTGATGCCCATGTTGTGGGCCCCTCCTCACTCTAGCTGTCTCCAATCAGCGGATGATCAAATTGGTGCGCCCACCGAGCTGGCTTGGGCCGCTGGCTGGAGCCGCGACGCAGCTCTGTTGACCGTTTATTGACTCACCTTCGTCGGGCGAGCTACGGGGTTTATTACACGGTTCTGTGGCAATGGTTTTGATCTGTTGCGGGAGGTGTCATTTTATTGTTGCAAGGTGTCGCTTGCTAGTTTGGTAGGAAAAGGAAAGTGGAAAACCTACACTCAGGACGAAACACGTAGGCCCTCCCCCTTTGGATCATTTTCTCTCCCCTAAACTAAAACAGCTCCACTCAAAACGAGGCCAAGTTCCGACAAAGACCGCTGCGGCGTATTGCACTCCCGGCTCACCGAAGGCGGCTCAGCTCGCTCACTGAAACAACGTGGAAGCGCGTATTAGACCAGGTTCTTTATTGATGTAAACATTTCGTTTAATTAAATTAAACCAATACAGCAAACCAAACATTAATTTAATTTAATTTATTAATTACAAAAAAATAAATTACGAATAAAAATTATATAAGTAAAGGCCCTGAAAAGCCAGCCTGAAAAGGTTCAGCAGAGCTCATTAAGCTCTTCTCTCTCTCTCTCTCTCTACTCTACACTCTCTCTTTCTCTGAGCTGAGCAAATCTCACACATTTTCCAAGAAGACCTGAACGACACCGTTTGGAGATCGCCGGAAGTTGTTGAGCTCTATTACCGGCCGGCGACGCCTCTCCGGCAATGGTTAACTCACGCGCTCTGGTTGTGCTAGCTCTTCTTCTCCACTCTCTAGTTGCTCTGGTCTCTGCTAAGGGATCTAACTCCACTAGTAAATGGCAAACACTTAGCGGTAAGCATCGATAATCTTCTGCTCTCAGGTTTCTCTCTCTGTGAGTGTGGTTCTCTTGCTTTCGTGTATTTTGCTTGAATTTTTGATTTTCTCCTCGGTTTTAATTTTGCTTTTGGTTGCTGGGAAAATGGAGGAAATTCTGAAACGGAAATTTGAGTTTTGTTTAATATTTCTGATTTTGTTGACGTTTTTGTTCCGTTGGTTCTCAAATTATGAAAGTGAGGGAAAAAATACAAAGTAGTTGTTCGGTATCCATATATAATGAGTGTGCATGTTTAAACCAATTCACTACCAGTGTTTGAAATTAAGTCTACTGCTTCTTGCATATTGGGAATAAAAGTTTGCAAATTCATTATTCAAACGAGAGGAAACTTAGAGAGCTTTGCTTTTTTTCTTTTGGGTAAAGCTTTCTCCCCGTGGTTTTGTTTTTGGCAGCGGAAAGAAAGGCTTCTTGGTTTTTTAAACAGAGAGGCTGAAAATGACACTCTGATAAAATTTGGTTTTCGTAAATATCTTGATTTTCAGGAATTGTGAAACATGGATTTTAAACTGCAGTCCCTTTTATTTGTAAACATCCTGAAGAGACGATGTTTTAAAAGTTGTCATAATTTCCAGTGGTCGGAGATGGAAAGCATTGCTGGAATTTATTACTGCTCCCAATTGAGACATTACATTGTAGTACAATTTTTGCATCATCAAACGTATGTAGGTTTCAGACCGAAAAATAAGAAGAACAACAAACATATGTAGGATTTTTCCCTCCACTTTATGTTCAGTGAGCTAACTGGATTGTTCTGGTTTGCAGGAGATGCTCCTTTGGTCATAGCACGTGGTGGCTTTTCAGGGCTCTTTCCTGGTTTTAGTTCAGCTGCGTATAGTTTGGCATTGGCCACAAGTGTACCTGATGTGGTCTTATGGTGTGACGTTCAGTTAACAAAGGATGGAGATGGAATTTGCTTTCCAGATCTCGTGCTGAATAATAATTCTGATATTCAAGATGTCTTCGCAAAAAAGGATAAGACTTACCTAGTTAATGGGGTTAGTACCTCAGGATGGTTTACTGTGGATTATACTTTCAGTGACCTAGCAAATGTCGTTGGTGAGTGCAAATTGTCTGAATCTGTTTCCCTTATATTGTTAATGGTCATCTTAACACTCCCGTGCATGTGCAATTTATTTGGAAATTGAAGGATATGCTTTTTTCATGCTGTTTTTAAGGAAATGATTTTTTCCACTTATGTGTATGAGTCCATCATGTTACAAATGATTGAGAGGCCTTCACCAAGTCCCACACGTGAATTTAACTGTTTTCCTGTCTTCTTGAGAGCAAACGGGCCACACTGAACCCTTGCAAAAATTAGCTGGCCATGTTCCTCTATCCTATTTTTCCCTGTCATTTCGGAACTCTGAATTGTTGGTGTTTAGAGATTTTAAAACATTTAAGTGAATCATCACAGTTTGCCCTATATCAAGTGATGCAATTGATATTTGTGGTAGCTCTTATCTTACAGTTTCCACACCAATCACTGAGTATCCACGTGGCATCCATGCTTATTTATTTCTTAAATCTGTTAGGGGATTTTTAGTGGAAGGTCTCTAGTTTTACTTTGATATTAAGACTGATCCCATGTCATTTACTGTTCAATTTAATTTCAAGTTGACTTTTCAAACTAAGTGAGGTAAAACTTTACTACCAAAATCATTTTAGTAAAATCCAAACATGTTATGTCAGATATACATATACAGTACACAGTATATAATAAACTAAATCAAATGATTGTTTTTTAATCATATGGAATGTGTATCATATACAAAAAGTATATGTCATAGTCCTAAAAGAGATGTTTGACACGCATATGCTCAGGGGCGGAGCCACATCCCTCCTCCCCCACTACTATCTATTATGGCAATAGAAATGTATATATGCTATGCTAACTATATCTTTTTGGTGGCATGCTCAATAATTTCTCACTGATTTCTTGTTACCCATACAGTTACTCAGGGGATATATTCTCGAACTAATAAGTTTGATGGCAATTTGTACCCAATTCTCACTGTCGAAGGTGTGGCTATGCAATTCAAACCACAAGGCTTATGGTTGAATGTTCAGGTATATTATACACTACAGCTCTCTCCTGTCTTTAAACTTGTGGACTTTTGTTTTTACCTTTTCATTTAGATTTGTAATCTGTTTGAAGCAACTTATTTTCTCTAATGCTTTTGCAGCATGATATATTCTTCACACAACACAACTTGAGTATGAGAAACTATGTGCTTTCTGTATCTAGAAAAGTGGTTGTCAATTATATCTCATCACCGGAGGTGGCCTTCCTGAACGGTATTAAAGCACGTGTTAGTCCAAGTGCAACCAAGCTGGTCTTTCGGTTTCTGGGACAAGATGACACGGAGCCTTCAACCAAGCAAACTTATGGTTCTCTATTAAAGAATCTCACATATATCAAGACATTTGCTTCGGGAATTCTAATTCCTAAAACTTACATATGGCCGGTCACCAAAGATCTTTATTTAGAACCTCACACTTCAATTGTTTTGGATGCTCATAAAGCAGGGCTAACAGTGTTTGCATCAGATTTTGTAAATGATGTACCATTAGCCTACAATTACAGTTATGATCCAGTGTCTGAGTACCTTAATTTTGTTGACAATGGTGATTTCAGTGTTGATGGTGTGCTGTCTGACTTCCCAATAACTCCATCAGCGGCCATAGGTAACTTATTTTCTTCCTGTTCATAAGAATTGTGCTAAGCTACATGTTAATATGTGCAAATTTTCAAGTATTGGATTATTATTTACTTATCTTTTACCAAATACCCTTTGAAAGAAAATTATATTTTTCTAATGCAGCATAGGATTCATATATATGAACAAACATTTTTAGGTGTGACTGAAATCAACACAGATTCTATTATGAACAAATTTTTTCTACAATGATCCCGTTTCTAACTTATGTAAGGTAGTTATAGATGCATCACAGATGATCACAAGGAATATCTTGGAGTCATAGTGCAAGTGCTAAATTTTTGTTGCTCATTCCAATTTAAGCATTAAAGTTCTGCTTGGTGACGATGTTATCTCTTAACTACTGCAGATTGTTTTGCTCACCTTGGAAATAATGCTTCAGGACAAGGTATGCCATTGTTTCATGGTGTTTCAATATAAAATTTTTATCTGTTTCCACTGAGCTGATTTTCATGTGGTCTAACTCTATATTTTATTGACGTGCACAAACATCTGAGCATTATTTCTAATCTATACCTTTCATCTTTCTCATGCTCCAGCCAGGCCTTTGGTTATCTCGAAATATGGTGCAAGTGGAGACTTCCCTAGTTGTACTGACTTGGCATACTCGAAAGCAATTGCAGATGGTGTAGATGTACTTGATTGTCCCGTCCAAATTTCCAAGGATGGCATACCATTTTGCTCGAGCTCTATAAATCTTATAGATAGCACAGCAGTTGCTCAATCAAGTTTTAGCAACCTCACAACAGTTATTCCAGAAATTAAGGCTGGCAGTGGAATATATACGTTCAGCCTAACATGGGAAGAAATTAAAAGCCTGACCCGTGAGTTGAAATAGAATTTCATTTGCTTGCTTGTCAGTGTGGTACCTTCAACTTTTATTGTTTTATATATTTCTCTGATATCTTCACAAACCATAGAATCTTTTAGGGTATAAGAGAAGTCATACGTAAATTCATTTCACACATTTTGGTTAGACTAGAGGTAAAATGTTTTGCTTTATTTTCTATATCGGAGACGGGGGATAAATATTCTTCCTTTTTTCTTCTAAATGAGTTACTGGAAAAAAGCCTACCAACTTTCTAATACACTTGTATGTCTTTAGTGCTACTCTGTTTTTACTTTACACATAAGTGGTAAGAATATTCTAAGTACTGTGGACTCCAGAGGAAGAACACGCATGAAAACTTGCCTTGGCATCCTAAATCCTTATATTCTTGTAGAGAGACCCTTTCAAGAATGTTTGTCCTCGCCACTCTTCTAATTTTGCTCTTACATGTTTACCTGTGCTACTCAGCTGGCATATTATACTAATTGTACCTCGGAAGAATTCATAAACAATAACTTTTTTCTTGAACAATAATTTTACATTCCTGTATTAAATTTTAGTTGTTTCCTGTTTTAACTGCAGCAATTATATCAAATCCCTGGTCAAGGTACACATTGTTCCGGAGTCCAAGGACCAAAACTGTTGGCAAGTACTTGACATTATCTGATTTTTTGACCTTGGCACAGAAATCGAGCTCTCTCTCTGGTGTCCTGATCGGCGTAGAGGTCGGTATTTTCTCAAAATTTCACTGCTTGGTCTATGATTTCATGCTTTGATTGTTTGAAGATTCAGTATAACTTTTTCCTAATTGGGACTCCAAATAAACTTTCGCTGTGTCTACCATTACTATGTTATTGTCATTCTCTCTTCTTTCTCTTCATGTGCTTCTTTCCTTACAACTTCAAACATGGGCTTGGGGATCTTATTGAACTAGGTGGATCTGAGAAAACTAACTAATGGTTGCAAATATGGCTGATCCAAGTGGAGTTACATTGTAAATTTCTCATCTACAGTCATTTGATTTGAACAGTGGGCTGGCTTGATGCTTAAAATTCTGTCTCTCACAATGGTCCAAAGTGACTTTTGTGCATTGCTACCCTTATTCAAAGCTTTCTTATGATGGTGACATTTTATAGTACTGTTTTCTTTCAGTATGCAGCGTATCTTGCAGAGGAGCAGAGATTAAGTGTAACTGATAAAGTCATTGCTGCATTGAGCAAAGCTGGTTTTGATAATCAGACAGCGCTAGATGTCAAGATTCAGTCCAGTAATAGTTCTGTTCTAATGAAATTTAAAGAGAAAACCAAGTATGAACTTGTTTACAGTATTGAAGAGAATATTGGTGATGCCCTTAGTTCAACTATTGAGGACATCAAGAAGTTTGCTGGTTCTGTGGTCATCAACAAGGCCTCCATCCTTCCTGAAACTCAGGCATTCGTCACTGGAGTAACAGATGTTGTACCAAAACTACAAGCAGCTAAGCTTGCGGTTTATGTTGAACTCTTCAGCAATGAGTTTGTATCTCAAGCATGGGACTTCTTCTCAGATCCAACCGTGGAGATCAATTCATTTGTCTCGGGGTTCAATATTGATGGTGTCATCACAGACTACCCGAAAACAGCTGCGAGATACAAAAGTAAGTGTGTACTTCTATTCAATCATTTGCTGTTTGAATGATGTTAGCTACATTAGCGCTCTGTAGATTATTATTGTTCTGCAAATCCATTGTTCTTTTGGTTAGATTACCGTGACATATTTTGATGCAATTAACCTTTCAAGTGATCAAATGTATGTTAAATTTCGGGAAACGTAATATATGTTGGTGTTATAAAGTGCTCTTATGCCTCAGATATTCTACCAAGTCAGTTTTATGCTTATTAAAATATAGATAAAGAATTTATCACTAACAGCAATTTTTTATAGCTTGTCCTTTTATATATTTTTTACTGTTTGAGGCATCATTTGGGGTGAAATAAGCTGTCTTAAGGGCTATCCATGTGTGCTGATCAATAGTAACTAATATTTTGGTGCTTGATTGTTGTAGGGAACCGGTGTTTAAGTGAAAAAGAACTACCTAACTACATGAGCCCCATTCAGGCAGCCAGTTTGATACAAGTTGTGTCTGCTGATTACTTGCCACCTGCTGAGGCCCCAAATCCACCCCTGACAGCTAGTGATGTGATCGAGCCACCTTTGCCTTCAGTTGAATCAGCCCTAGCTCCTGGCCCAACTGGTAGTTCTACAGTAGGACATCCACCGCCACCAAACAGGCAGCCTAAGATTGCTGCTGGCTTCTTTCTCTCAACTCTGGCTATGCTTTTTGCCACTCTTTTCTTGCTCTGAAATTGCGGTCTTGTAACTTTCCCATCTCATTGCTCTTTCTTGGAGCTTTTTGCCGAAAGAATATACAGGGCTGATAATTTATTTTTTATTTTTCATTGTTAATTTTATTACTGAACAGCTGTGTATTCAGGCATTTGATGTTGTAGGTAATGCTCATTCTTCCCCCCCTCGTAAATTAAGGATACAGAGACTCTGAAACCACGTAGAAGTAGATATCATATCATCATCATCGGTATTTATCTTTTCTTTTTATTTGTTTTTGGTGGGTGTAATTGTACTCGTGAGATATTCTTTGGTCTGTTTGTACTAAGAAATATGGAAATTGAGATTGTAAAACCTTTTCTTTTTAATTTGGGCATGTTCCAAATGGACCCTAACAATTGCTCACTAACCCAATAAAATCTAATTTATCCCAAGTACTTTCATTTTACCCTTTAACCAAAAAAAAAAGAAAAAAAAAAGAAAGTTAAACAGAAGACTAGAACAGATTGGTATCAGATCCTAATTATCAATGGAGTGTTAGTTGGATTGGTCCAAACTTTTGGTGCGCTTGCAAATAGTCCTGGGTCCGTGCGTGTGTGAGAGTTCCCCCCCTCCCTTTCTAACGTTGGGAAAAAAAAGTATCAAATCCAAATTATTCAAGGATTTATATTGTAATTTGTTTTTATGAATAGTACGAAGGGAATACAAGCTCATTTGAAGCCATGACTGGGTCCGTGCGTGTGTGAGAGTTCCCCCCTCCCTTTCTAACGTTGGGAAAAAAAAGTATCAGATCCAAATTATTCAAGGATTTATATTGTAATTTGTTTTTATGAATAGTACGAAGGGAATACAAGCTCATTTGAAGCCATGACTGAAGTTGATGTTCTAAAAAGGCTATCTATTTCTATTGATTCAATTGCCATTGACTTAAGGCAATACAAGCTCGTTTGAAGCCATGACTGAAGTTGATGTTCTAAAAAGGCTATCTATTGCTATTGATTCAATTGCCATTAACTTAAGGGCAATTCGCATTTATACGTGCGTATTGCCTTTGTTGGAAATATGCCCTTAAAGCCAACTAATTATGTAATGTTGATGTTCTAAAAAGGCTATCTATTGCTATTGATTCAATTGCCATTGACTTAAGGGCAATTCGCATTTATACGTGCGTATTGCCTTTGTTGGAAATATGCCCTTAAAGCCAACTAATTATGTAATAGTTAAAGTTAAAGACATCTTTGATAAAAGACATATTATGTTATCAATGGGTAAGAAATGTTGTTTTATACATTAAATCATCATATATTATCTTTCAATATGTAGAACAATCATAGTCCAAGGAATATACAAGTGGATATGAGAGCTATGTAATGAGATTGCATACATGGCGACTTCTTATCATCCCTGAATCCTGAATATGTTCCTGGTCATAGAAATATTGATTGAGCATTAATATTCCGCAAGTACCAGTACACACATTATCGTCTCTATATGTAGGGAATGGAAATTTCTCAAGTCATTAAGTGTGGAGACACATCGATATGTGTGTAGGTGCTTGTAGAAGAATAAGTACACTGAACGCAATCCAACACATGAGTTACAACATGGAAGTCTTTACTCACATCACATGTCAAGCTAGAACTCATAAATTGTAATGGTGCAAAATAATCCTTAGACCTGAGGCATCATAGATATTTTGTGGCTATGTTGTTAATCTTTAAGGGCACTATACGGTCATGCTGAATTAGGCATAGCTTAAATGTGCTCATTAGGATTCTCAATAGAGTCATGGAAACAAATGAATGTTCAACAAGAAATCTCTACTCTCAGTAAAAGAGAGAGAATACTCCAAGATATGATTGGTCAAATCTCTGCGCAGAGTAGTGGGTAAGACTTTAAAGAAGAAGTCTTCAAGTCTTACCATGATAATCATATAAAAGGAATGATTCACATTAGGATATTGACAATCAGATTCCATGATCTAATAATGTGAATAAAGAGTATTGACATAAGAGAAGGATTCAATTGCACAATCATTCCAATTTGAATAGGTTCTTTCACAATGTCTCATTTAGCTCGGATAACCGTGACTTGTTGCTACGCGACAACCATGGTTTGTGGATGTCCTAAAATGTTTTAATTAACCTTTATTAATAGGAAAAATTAAATTGTGGAATTTAATTCGTATATCATCTTTGAGGAGTTAAGTCAACCCACTACCTTGGTAAAGGGAATCTACGGATATGCACATCCAAAGAATGTGATTAGAGGTACAAATGAGGAGAAATGTAATAAAGAGACACAAGTCAATGGTTGATAATCAAATGTCAAAGTCAACAGTCAAAAGTCAACATGTTGACCGGAGCAATTGACCAAAGTCAAATAGTTCGACCGAGTCAACTATGTAAGACTATAATTATAATTTAATAGTTAAATTATAATTAAAAGATTAATTATGAAATTAATATTGACATATAGAAATATTGGATTAAACTTTTAAATATGATTTAAAAGGAAAGTGACAAAATAGCCCAAAAAGCTATTGGGCCCAAGGGATAAGTGGCATAAAATGACATGGCATATGGACCAAATGGAGCCCCAAATACCCACCTAATTGCCTTTTGTTTGGTCCTATATAAGCTAAGTGTTGGAGAAAATCTAACTAGGATTTTTGGTTTTCTACTTTGGTTGATGAGTGATCATCTTTGTATCTCATCTTCCATAAACCAAAAATTGGTCCAATCAAGAAGTAGACTAGCATCCAAACTTCTTGATTGCCTTCTCTTCATCTCTAGGAACATTTGGTGTGGTGAGGTAGATGACTCTAATCTTGGAGCCTTAAGGTGAATGAGTCAAAATCAAGAGAAACAAAGGGCCTTTCCAACAAAGGTGTTCATTCTTGAGAAATCAAGAAAATGTCATTAAGGGTAAAGATCTATTCCCTTTTCCTTTTTTCTATTTGTGTTCAAAGAAATTAGGCTAAGATACTTGGTTTAAAATGAAAAATGTTTAGCTCAACTAGTATAAAAAAAATGAATCCGTCATTTAGAATGTTTTTGTTGTATAAGTTGTGGCTAAAATTCATTTTCTAAGTATTAGATTCATGTTTCCTTCAGCCTTTTGTAGAGAAAATCACTCACATTAATTTCTTTGTATTTCTGGTTCAATACCCATTTTTATGCATGCGTGTTGACTTTGCACAAAGAGGTTATGAGTCCAGGAAATTAATTAGTAGGGTGGTATTTAATAATTAAGTGAGTGATTAGAGTTACAGCATAATATATATACATATATATATATATATAATTACCCTACTCCTGTTGCAATGTCCCGTGCTCGATTCTTCCTTTCCTAATATCGCTTGTATCGAAACAACGTTAGAATACTAATTGTGAAAAAAGTAATAAGAATGTACTTGAGTTGAAGTCCCACGAGATTGTGGTGTTGTCCACAAAAGAATATATATAATATTTCAGGTGTGAAGAACAACGTATACATATCTAATAAAGAAGAGGTTTTAATTCAAAATTTGTTTTGTCTCCCAGCGTATACGTTGACTTTCTCTATAGCAAATCAAATCTCCTTTATAAAGAAAACAAATATTACAAAAACGTCTATATTGGAAGAAGAAGAAAGCGTACCATAGGCAGTAATGCTATCATATTCAATAAATTTTGGCTTAAAATCAACCTTACAATTAGCCATTCTTCTGATACATATCAAATATAAGCAAATTAATTAAAAATAAAAAACTTTAATTTGCGATTAATCCCCCTTAAAACAAGCTAATTAATTAAAGCAAAATAAAAAACACAAATATTTTGGCGGTACCATTCCATTTCTATCTGCACAAACAGCCTACAAAAAAAAACGCATATGCATTGTAGACATATGAATTGAACACTTGGAAAAAAATGGGCTCCAAATTTGTGCAATTTGTTTGCCTAGTGTTGTTGCTAGTATCCGTTGTCAAAGTTGGAGCTCAGCAAGCAGTTTTTGATGTGATGAATCACGGCGGCGTTGCCGATGGAAAAACTGATAACAGCAAGGTAATTGTTATGAGTTTATCTTAATCCAGAATTAAGATTATGATGAACATATATATATATATATCATGGTCTTGCATGATAAATGAGCTTTTCTGAATTTTTCTAATTAAGTAATGCTAAGAGTACAATATTATTAACTGTCCAATATCCATTTCTTACATTGAGTAGCTTATGCAATAAAATTATTTGTACAATGAACTACGATATGAATTACTTCTCTAATAGAGCTAAGATATACTCGTATAGACGCTCTCTATCTCTATTAGAGATTTACGTGCTTCATTCATAAATATGATTATAGAATAAGCCTATATTATTGATTATAGAGCAACTATGTGTTGAATATAGGTAAAACTTTTTCGGTGACCAAACACAACAACATGTTGAACTGATCTGAGGAAACTTAATATTTTAAAATGTGGTTCATGACCATTTTAGAATTACGCATCATTATTGTGATAAAATTTCACTGACTGTATTTGTTTCCCATAATGGGGGAAAGTAATACGGTTAGAAAATATGAGTTTGTTAGCATTATTTCTTTTTAATATGTATGCCCATTCTAATGTTTGTGTTTCCTCTTTTTTATTTATTTATTTATTGTCAGTCACTGCGATTGGATTTCGTCACTAATGCAAGCATAGATCGCATAACATCGATCAACAGCAAGAACGTGCACATCATGTTGCTACGCGACAACCATGGTTTGTGGATGTCCTAAAATGTTTTAATTAACCTTTATTAATAGGAAAAATTAAATTGTGGAATTTAATTCGTATATCATCTTTGAGGAGTTAAGTCAACCCACTACCTTGGTAAAGGGAATCTACGGATATGCACATCCAAAGAATGTGATTAGAGGTACAAATGAGGAGAAATGTAATAAAGAGACACAAGTCAATGGTTGATAATCAAATGTCAAAGTCAACAGTCAAAAGTCAACATGTTGACCGGAGCAATTGACCAAAGTCAAATAGTTCGACCGAGTCAACTATGTAAGACTATAATTATAATTTAATAGTTAAATTATAATTAAAAGATTAATTATGAAATTAATATTGACATATAGAAATATTGGATTAAACTTTTAAATATGATTTAAAAGGAAAGTGACAAAATAGCCCAAAAAGCTATTGGGCCCAAGGGATAAGTGGCATAAAATGACATGGCATATGGACCAAATGGAGCCCCAAATACCCACCTAATTGCCTTTTGTTTGGTCCTATATAAGCTAAGTGTTGGAGAAAATCTAACTAGGATTTTTGGTTTTCTACTTTGGTTGATGAGTGATCATCTTTGTATCTCATCTTCCATAAACC